AGGAATTTTTGACATTCCCTTTGTTTGTTTGAAATCTGAAGGCTTTGCTTCTGTGGATGCCTATAAATAATTTCAAAATAATAAAGTAAATCATGTAAACACTAAACTATAAATGCAGCTTTTCTAACAATGGTAGTGGGAGATAAAAGATAAAATAAGTTTTTTTTTCTGTTTCTAGTCTACTTGTGAAAGCAATATAAATGCCAATCACCTTCATCTTTGAAACAAGTTTAGAAATATAGCTACAAATAGATACTTTATAGTATATATTGATACTTTTGATAGAAAATTACAATCTAGTCAGTACAATACTCTTAACACAAACAACATGTCTCTTTACTACTGAGTTCTATTGGCTTATTAAAAGAATTTGACATTTTATTAATTTTGTATTACACTATTTCCAAACAGTCATTTAAGTTGATATTTATAATCTTTATTCATACCTTATTTTGTCTTATTTTTAACAAAAAAGGGTCATGGGAGAGGTTTTACTAATGGTGTATTTAAAATTAAGTGTGATATAATAACCTGTATACAAGTGTTGAAATTATTTCCTGTAAGATTTGATCCTTCATTATAAATGAAGGATTTTCTTTTTATTTCCCTTTTTTGTGGAATTTGGGGAGAAATGGCAGGCAGATTGAATTGATTTGGCCTTTAATTTGTCTGCTTTTTGCTAATTAACTTTGCAACCTTGATTCAGTCACTCAATCTTTCTGATTTTCTAGTATTTTGTAAAATGAATTTAGATGGTTTATAGTCTTTTAAAATGGTAAGATTATCTGAGAAAATATATTACATCTCTTATCCTATTATGAACTTGTTACCAATGAGAAAAACAATGGATTTTAGCTTTAGGCCTGGAGATTTATCTATTTCATTGGACTATATTATAAAATTAAAATCTGTGTTGTATAGATGCTCAATTTTATGTATTTAAGACTAGCTATGCCATGGAAATGCAATTTATTCATATAAATTATTTAGTCAACATCCTGTTTTATTATGTGCTTAATGGATGCTGTTGAATTACTATTTATTACAGAATTAATGATGTAAATTTATAGTTAATATTATTGGTATTCAGTTTTAGGAAAGTCAGTTCTGTCCTCACACTAATGTGAAGGATAAAACAAAAATAGCATTTTAAAAGACTATAACCCTCAGGAAGACTGGTGCTTGTTTAAACACATTGTAAAGAAGTACCAGGATGTTGAAGATAAAAGGCAAGACCTTGGCATATGAAATTCTTTAGATAACTCTGGTCCAAGTTCACTGTGGAAGAGGTCATACTTCACAATTATTGTATTTGTATTGTGGAAAGAAGCATAGGAAGCAAAGGAGTAGCACAGGTGAAGAAGATTGTCATAGGTCACAAAGGACCAATTGTTCATTGCTTTTGCCTTGAGCCTTTAGTTTTGCATTTTAAAGTTTTCTTGAAAGAATATACTTAAGTCTTATCCAATTTGAAGGTCTTTATTGAAGGTATTGTGAGTGCCAGCAGTTATAACCTCTAAAATGAAAACTCATTCAAAGGGAAAAGGATAAAGATATACACAGAATTTAAATTTAATGTAAACTATACTTTCAACAGTAAAAATAAATTTATATTCTAGTAAAAATTATTAAAGGAATCTAGAAAACTTAAATAAGGGACCAGGAAAATGAATATAAAAAATGAAAATCAAAATCAACAAAAAACTATGAACCAGAGACACTTTTTGGGGGGTGGGGGGCGGGAGGGGAAGGACTGGGGTCAGAATGGGGCGTTGCAATTGTATGGGGAATATAAAAATAAAATTAAAAAAAATAAAAAATAAAATAAAATAAAATGTAAAAAAAGATAAAAGAAAAAAATAAATAAATAAAAGTTTAATCTTCAAATATAACATTTTATATATATCTCAACCTGCCTCAGAACACTGCAATGTATTAAAAGTCTATTTTTGGGTTGTTTCCAAAGCTTAGCTATTGTAAACAGTGCTGCTATAAACATAGGGGTGCAGGTGCTCTTTGGAATTGATGTTTCTGTGCCCTTTGGGTAAATACCTAGGAGTGGAATTGCTGGATCATAACCCAAATGCCCAAAAATAGATGACTGGATCAAGAAGATGTGGTACATATATACCATGGAATATTACTCAGCATTCAAAAAAGATAAACACATGCAATTTGCAGCAACATGGATGGCGCTGGAAGGGATCATGCTCAGCGAAATAAGCCAAAAAGAAAAAGAAAAATACCGGATGGTCTCACTCATAGCAGGAATCTAGAAAACTTAAATAAGGGACCAGGAAAATGAATATAAGAAAGTGAAAATCAAAATCAACAAAAAACTATGAACCAGAGACACTTTTTGGGGGTGGGGGGTGGGAGGGGAAGGATTGGGGTCAGAATGGGGCATTTGCAATTGTATGGGGGAATATAAAAATAAAATTTAATATTAAAAAAAAAAACTGGAAACAATTTGACCCAAAAAAAAAAAAGTCTATTTTTATGAATAATTACAGATGGAATTATGGATAAAAAAAAAAAGTGTATTCCAGACCAGTTCACTGAAGATTTAAAGATAATCAAAGGCAGGACGGACCTTACATTTTTAAATGAAGAATTCATTTTGGGTTTAGGTTTGGTAGGTCAAAAAAAAAAAAAAAAAGTTAGTGAGGAAATTCTTCCCACTATGGTTATTGTGAAGATGTCTAAATCAATTTACTAGAGTAGTCCCCTGGGCTACTAACATAAAAGGCATATAGTATATGAACACATTGGTGTATGTGACTTTAAACCTGAAATCTATGTAATACCTATCATAAACCAATGTTACTTGAATGAAGATAATTTTAAAAATGCTGGTGAGTCTACATGTTATACTTACATGAACTTCTGAGGCAGTGTTTTCAAAATCAAGTATGTATAAGTAAAACTGCATATCTGTGGGAAAAAAAAAAAAACAAACAAACATAGATTCTTACATCCCACAACAAAAGAGTTGTATCTAATGTCCAAACCCTGATACCTGCACACCCTTTTCTGGGGAGAGAAAAGAAAGTACATACCTTTAGATATTTTGCCTAAAATATAAGAGGATGAAATTCTCTAAAATTTTATAAGGGATAAGGATAAAAGAGCAAGCTTATTTATCTCATGCCATATAATGGAATAAGAAGCTTTATTTTGTGCAATTATGAATAATAACTGATAAATGCATTTTAACATGCTTATGTATATGTATGTGTATATATATTTTTTCACACATGCATATCTAATCTTAGATAATCCTTATGCTAACCTTAGATGATTATAGAGAATAACCTTAGTAATTCTCAATATTCAGATAAAAACAGTGAAACTGAAAAAATGCAATTTATGCAATATCACACATGATAGAATAAAAATTCTAACCCAGGGATATGCGGTTACAAATCCTTTGCTCAATATCACCCAACTAGGATTATTACCAATATATTAGGGAGTAAATATTATAGAACTCATTATACATAGTGAAATATTATAGAACTCATTATACATATACATTATACATAGTGAATGTGCTGGCAGGATAAAGGAACAGATCGATAAAATACTTAAATGACTTGATAAAAAAAAGACATTAAAAGAAGCTAGGATCATGAAGGGTAATATCAGGGAGTATGTACATCTCCTGGCTGCAGCTGGAGACTGATCACCACCTGGGAGCATAACGGGTACACCTCAAAATGACAGTGCCTTTATTCCCACAATATGAAAAGTAGGAATCTTTGGAACATACATTACATTTTAAAACTTCCTTTTTTATCACTATCATGCTTTCATTTGCATCTAGCTGTGAAGATATCACTAAGTTTGTAAGCAAGATGTCATCACCCTCATCATCATTTTTTTGATCTACTATAAACATTGTGCCCTTAAAAACCTCAGTTGTAAAAATAAAGCTCCAAAACTCATTAAAATTTGATGAATTTTACTGGCTAATTTTAATAATGAAGTAATAAAATCAGGCAAGAATGAATACAAATATTTTAATTCATTAGAGAAGTCTAAGAGATTAGTTTTAAATGGATTACTTTGGAGCAGTATTGTAATAAATGTAAATATGAAATTATTTAAAGTCAATGGATATTATTAGAGATGTTTAATATTTTCTATGTATTTAGACTAATGATATATTCAGCAATAATTTGATTATCATGGTGTTATAAGCTTAAAAATAATTTTCAGTGCCCATGATCTGTATTTTCCTTAAAGTTATGCAAAAAAAAATAATATAAGCTCAGAATATTATGATGACTATGCCTTTTAAATGAAAGGAACTTTGGGCTACCTTAAGAAAATTCTGGTCCCCAAATAGAAATTATAACATTTTTTAAACAAGAATTATGATTTAGTTAGTCTTTAAATCAAATTTCAAGTTTTTCGTATTATATGCTTTAAAGAAGATTGAAAAACATATTTAATTTTTTCTAACTATTTTGCACAATGATTATTTTATAATCCTGACTCCTGGCTTACATTTGCATTGTAATTGATTTGAGCAACAGAATTAATAAAACAGTCTATATTTTGTTTTCTGTGTTATTTTAATCAATACTCCCTCTGCTGGTTTTAATAGGAAGAGAGCCCCAAGGACAGCTCAAATTACTAGATATTTTACAGAGTGCTTTTTGCTATCAGAGAGGCATTAAAAAGTAAAGTCAGAAGTCAAGCCATGTTAATTTACTAGCTTTATTTGTATAGCTATTCCATTTTAAATTCACACCATTCATCTAAGTAAGAGAAATTGGTACCTGAGGCATTTCCTCTCTTTTTTTATTAAGATAATTTCATAAAGACATTACATTTTGGCGGGTGCTTTCATTTTTCTGTTCTTTTATTCTGAATCACTTCATAAAAATATGAAATTTCCTCTCCTGTAAACCCAACAACCAAATGTGGGATGCAGTCTGTCATTAAATGTGATGTAGATTTTTACCCATCTTGTTCTCTCTCCTTCTCTGCAGGTACTCCATCTGTACTGTGTACATCGAAGTGCTTCCCCCAAACAATCAAAGCCCTCCCCGCTTCCCACAGCTGATGTATAGCCTTGAAATCAGTGAGGCCATGAGAACTGGTGCTGTTTTATTAAATCTACAGGTATGCTGTTTAGTATATATATAAAGTTCTGTAGCAGCAACCTGAAGGCTAATGGATTTATATTTGTGCAGGAGGGTGGGGGTTGGGGGGCACTCACATGTCTGTTTATGCTCTAGTGAATGAAAATTCCATCTGGAAAGGAAAGCAGGGATAATATGGATGGAGGGTTTCCACAGCTAATCTATTCTATTGATTGTCACAATTGAAGAACTAATGTAGCTGGCAGGGATTAGCCACAATCATTAAAAGAGAGATTGAAGGGATTGGAAACACGCTCTTGAATATTTTGTATATTGCACCAAAGAGTCTGCAGCTGACTATTATTTTCTGTCTTGGATTTTTTTGCCCCAGCAGGATTTATTTTTGCTGCAGTGTTGTAAGAGAAAATAACTTCAGATTCACTGACTGATGGCAGGCATTCTAATTCTGAGGCAGACCCTACTTCATTCTCTGGCATGGACAAATATTGAAATTGCTGTGCCTCAGTTTATTCATTTAGATGAAGCAGATTGGATTGTTGATATTACCATTTGTAATTCCAGCTTCATGGGATATGAGTTACTTGCAAAAATGATAGCTTAGCTTTCACTATTTAAATACTCCTTACCAAAGCATATTTGGTCAGAAAATACTGTATCTTCAGTCATATATACAGCTTCAAGTTTGGCTACCTAGATTGTCAAACTATAATTTGTTGCAAAAATCATAAGAACCATTACATGAAGTAGTATTTTGCATATGGTTGTTCAGAGGACAGAACATTTCTCTTCTTCTGGTGTTGTACGGGACTGACAGGAATTGCTGACATAAGAATTCAGGAATGTTAGGGAATATTATCATGCGATGATTTAGGAAAATCCCCAAATCAATTTCACCATCAATCAAGTGGCATACGGCATAACCACATCTTCCTCATCCCATTTGAATACCGATACCTTGCTCTCAAATCCTGATATATATAAAAGTGAAAATATCATGGAATTTTAATAATAAAAAGGATGTTAAAATGGTGAAACACATCAACCTTATTATCCAGATGTGGAAAGTAAACCCCTTAGAAAGTAACACATCATTTGACTGAATTCTTATCATTTCCAAAAAAAAAAATTGGAACTTCCAAACACTCCATTATATCTCACATAACACCTGAGGCTGCTAAAAGTTTGAATAGTATTATCAGATACCTCTACCTCTGTTCTAGTAACTATTTTTTTTTACTTTATTCCCACATAACAAGAGAGAATTTGCTTTTGTTGTTCCTTTACTATTAAAACTTACGTAAAATCAAAACTATATGAAAACATTTTTATAATAAGGAAAGTTATGGGATTTTGATGAAAATAAAGAGAAAACCTACAATATAACTAGAAGGGAGAATAAAGCTAGTTAAATCTTTATAGTAATAAATTTACAATGAGATATCAAAAACATGGACATTAAATGGAATAATGAAATATTATACACACACACACAGACAATACTCATTTATTTAAACAGGAAGAAAAGTAAATATATTTAAGATTCAGCCCAAGAAATTTTACATGATTTACATTTAAATATTTAAGAATGCATTGTTATATAATGAAGCTTTTTAAAAGATAGGACAGAATTTTACTTGTAAGATGGCTCAGGTTCCATTTCAATAAATCCTAGTAAGATCTAGGAACTATATTATAGAGGAATAATTCTACCTATGAGTTAAAGATGAAAAGGAGTTGGCCTTTCTCATATCTCAAATTTCCCTAGTACAAAAGCTGAGAAGATAGTTGAAATGGCATTTCTATTCACCCGTTGTGCTTCTCATAGAAGCAAAAGAAAGGGTGCCAATTGCACTAGCAGTTTCTATTAGAAGAACTAGGGTGACACCATCAAGGTGTTTTTCATAGGCCACCACCATCCACTTTTGTTCATGATCAACTGCGATTGAATTTAAACTAGTAATCTAATAGTTGAAAAGCTTCTATAAAATTACTCTTCCAAAGACTTCTAATAAGAGTTTGCATTAAAGGTAGTATTGGCTACATTATCATCTTTTTCACGCATGACATTACCTACTTTCTGACTCACTGTTCAATTTAGAAAGACAGGATTGGATGGGAAATATATTTTTGATGATAATAGCATACTGGCTTCAAAATAATCTGTTTTGAATGAGATCAAAGCAGTTTCTTTCAAACAACAATCTTTGTTTCTCCCTTTCCCTTTAAAGTATGTTCCTTCATTCTATCTTAAAGTTGCTTGAGAGGTAGTGATTTTCTTCATTGTTTTAAGGCTCTTTTGCCTGACTGCTATACTGATATTGTTCCACAGAGGAAAATGTCATGTAGAGTTCTTTTTCAAATTTCTTGATTTTATCAGTATCTATATTAGTATTATGTGGGTTTTTCCTTCTAGATTTGGTCATATATTTCTCTAAAGCATGATTCAATGTAATTCTCACCTGCCAGTGAAATCTGTAAGAGTGGTGAGCTAGAGCAGATCCCACACTGGTTTATGAAAGCCAGTGTGTCCTTCTCTCACCAACCCCATGTTCAGTCATGTCACATTGTTTAACTTGAAATAACTATGGTGGGCATATTTATGACACAGAAATTATTAAATGTAACAAATTGATACCCCCCATTCCCCTGTAGAGCCTGTGTGAAATTTTTGCCAGTATACCACTAGATATGGAGCCACTTGTTTCAAGAACTTAAATCATTAAATGTGTTGATTCCAACAGCATTCTCCCTCTTTGTCCTTCTGAATGTTTGATTTATTTTATTACTCTAAAGATGAGCCAATTCTACCAAATAGTATTATGTGTTATACTCAAACACAATAACTTTCAGCTTCCTCTTATCCTCACTATATCATTATCTTCTTCCTAATTAAGCTAACATATGGCTCACATTCTCTGTGACTATTTGACCCATCTCTTCACCACTAGCACAATCTGCCTTTTTTCTACAGGAAACTCCTTTTATCATCCCTCTTATCCCCATCCTCATAATAAGAGTTAACACTATGTGATGTTTAATGTTCTTTACTTTTTGTATAAGTAGGGCAATGAGATTATATTATGCCCCTAAATTCAAAATCTCAGCAATTTAAAACTGCAATGATTTATTTCTTACACTGGGTGTCCATCATGGATCAGTTGCATATCTGTACTTCATCATTTTCAGTCCAAGTTAGAATGTTGGCACGGCCTCTGTCTGGAGCAGTGTTGGTCTCCTGACAGTGAAAGAGAGACCCAATAAACCACAAGCTTGTGCTCTTAATGCTTCTTCCAGAAGTTACACATGAACCTTCTGTCCATTTCATTTCCACCAAACCAATTGCAAGGGCATTCCTGGGTTAATCACAGTAGAGATGTATAGTACTCCCACAGGAAGCACACACTAATCACATAGCTAAGTCTAATGTCAGAAGTGTTGAACTCCTTTGGTATATCATTTGCTTTCCTATGTATTGTGGGCAATAGTTTTTCTAAATGATTCAAATCCTGCCTAACATGATTTCCCACTCCGTCAGCATCCAATAACAGTTCCCCCATTACCCTTCACTATCTTGAAACAACTGATTTTTTTTTGGGGGGGGAGGTTATTTGTCCCAACACATTCCAATTTTAAGTACCAAATTGTGAAGCAGTTATAATAACTAGGTTTCTGATGCCAAATTTCACATTCAGTGCCCATCACAAGTCAACAGTGACTGCATTATTTTCAGTTTTCATTTCATAATCCAGGGAGATGAAACAGTCTCATGTAAAACTGTTGAACTCCTGATTGAGAGCAAGATTGAGAGCAATATGCCAAAAATATAAATAATCCCACCTAGGTCTTTGCTGTTACCCATACATTTATAATATTGACTATATTTTTCCATTGACCAAAAACAACTCATATTCAAACAAAATTATGATAAAGACAACAGTCCCTGTATCGTGACCAAATGACCATTGTATGCATCACGAGCGACCACACTACAGTGAGTGTAGAAAAAACTGAAATTTACTTGTATTTGGAGTGTTACTGGGGCAATCAAATGAAGAATGGAGGGGCAGATGCAATATGGATTCTCTGTCATTATCTGAAGGGCTCATGCCCACATCGGGAACTTTATATAGCTGGAATTTTACTTGAAATGGGGATGTGTGTTAGAAGTTTTCCTCCCAAAACTCCAGGAGTAGAGTTGCAGAGTCTCCAATAGAATATTAAATTAA